AGTCGTAGAAAAAGTTAACCGTTAAAATTTTTCACATCTGCAACGCGCTCAATTGTCAAAATCTTAGATTGTCATATGTCTTATCCTGTGGCCAATGCGGGAAAACAGGAAATTACTCTACAGAAACCTATCAGCAGCTTCATCTGGAATAACTCTCGTGCTTGCCTCTAATGGTAAAAGCGAACAAGTAAATGTGTGTTAGAACAATGAAAACTAATCATTAGCTTTTCAAACTCATTGAAATTAATTTTAAACATTTCCGTCAACCCTAACAGAAAAAAAACCAGATCAGGCGTAAAATGGCCTACACTTATACAGTAAGTCGTAAAAGCAAACATCCCATCGAGACTCTCTTAAAAGAGATTGATATCCTTTGACAAAGAGATCGATCGACTAAGTGAAATACTGTGGTCTTTCAATTTGAAAAATCTTGGTGCTCTTACCTTTCAAGCACGAATTTCCTCTAGTGATTTAGTGTGTCCTTTGGAAGGATGGCTCGGGTTAAATAATTATTGAGGCATTCTTCCAGATCCTGATGGGCAAGTGCCAAGTGCCCTTACCTTACAAACACGATTTTCCTTAAGTTGTATAATGCGTCGTCTCAAATTGTAGCCTGAGTTAATTAATTATTGCGGCACTCTTCTAGTTCGTGTTAGGCAGGGGGCTAGCGGCGTTAATTTGACGGAGAAAGCTGAATGACATAATAGGATGATTGGCACCTGTTTGGAGATGATCGAAAGGCGGTCTTACCTTAACTGATTTATTATTTTTGTTCTCATCTTCAGTCATGTCGTCCTTTAGTATTCCTCTACGAAAATTTGGATTGTGCCGTTTACTTAATCAGGTTAGAGAGGAAAGAATGAAAAGGAGAAAAAACATGCATAAGCCAAGTATTCCACATGTTGTGGGATGTAACAAACTAAATCATCTCGCATAACTGCGTACCTTTTTTACAACGTGAAAAATTGCATGAATCCATAGACTATGAGCAGTGACTGCTTTTCAGCGAAGTCCGTAGTTCAAGTCAAAAATTAAAAAAAAAAAAGTGAAGAGAAAAATTGCGGAACTCGAGGAGTGAGACGCACTCCCGCAGCGCGCTAACAAGAATTTTTTTTTTTTGACCCACGCAACGGACTTCGCCGAAAAGGAGCGACTGCTCTTAGCCAATGAAATTCACTACAAATTTAATTGGAAAGGATGTAGTCTTTAATAGTTCGTTCACGATATCTTATGTATTATAGTAAGAGTTTGAAAACGTTTGCGTGTGCCATGGAATTCCTCGGATAGATTAGGGACCCATGACTGCTACTGGTAAGTCACTCAATCACGCTGCCAAATCTCAATCCGTTTAAGAGCGACGTCTGTAGCAAAGGTTCTTTGATCCATGGGTCGTCAAAAGACTGGAAAACCTCGCTGCTTTGAAAGACAGTACTGCTGTGGTCATGGTTACTTTACACACCTTAGCCTGGATAAGCTGCAGTCTTCTTTTTACCCCGATACGCAGTCTGTTGACTAGTCTACGAGGGTAGATGCTAAAACCTAATTTGAATTTTACTGTAATTAGGAAAAAAGGGCCAATTGCTTACTGTAGTACGGTAATAAATGGGTTGCCAATGATCGTATCCTTGTATTTACGCAAAGATTTCTGGGATCGCCATAGGGCAAACATTGCAAGTTGTTAGAGGGAAATGGATAAGCTGGCGTTAGGTTTACCGACGTCTGAAAGAAGGATTTTGGCGAGAGATCAACGATTTTTCGTCGCAGTTTTATCATAAATGGATTAAGATAATGTTGATACAAGGGAAGAGTAAGTTTTTGTTAGTATTTCCACGAAACATATCATAAAATATACCGATTAACTTCTCTCCCTGCGTGAGGTCTATTGTGAAATCGTCATCGCGTAATAGTCTCGACATAAATCGCAAGGAAATAACTCAAGTAAGTCTTTTAAGTTGGATTTGTGTATGCAAAGCCTGTTTTCATACTTATTAACGTATTAAATAAGCGCCGAAAACAAAAGGAAATCCCAGTGCAAGGTCAAGTGATTATTTGTCGAGAAAGATCCAAAGGTTTTTGAGCTGCCACTTTTCTCCTCGAACTCTTGGGAAAAACAAGATCGCGGGAACTCCAGCAGAAACTGTGAACATATATTCAGTTGTGCATCGCTCCTTAAGCGACCCATTTGTACCTACTCATCGTCGCATAAGAAAAGGTTCAGTTTTGAGCCGATTATCAACGCTGATTCGTTCTCATTAATCACAACAAAGGGGCAAATTACGTGTTAAATCACTTAATGTATCACGATAATATTTTATGTTCAAGCACACCATTTAAATCTCCTGCTGCGTCGAGGTAGCTGTGATGGCGTTTTTTTATTAATTTATTTTTTGAATTACCAAGTCAAGAAAAAAGGTGGAAGTAGACTTAACACACGTAAATGAAACTGGGGATGCTTTATTGAGCTATTTCTTGGCGATTTATGTCAAGTATTTCTGAAGTTTGAGATCATTGCGCGATTTCAATTTCACTACAACCCTTGCGCTTGGAGAAAAGTTAATTGCTAGATTTTACTATATATTTCACAGTTGTTCAAACAAAACCTTGCGCTACCCTCGTATCTATTTTACTCACACCCATTTCTGATAAAACAGCGGCAGAAAAGCGATGATCTCTCACCAAAATCGTTTTTCTAGACGTCGAAACAACCTTCCGCCATACATTTCATTCTAGTTATCCAAGCAATCATCACTGCTGAAATGACTCGTCAAGACTCCATTTCCGGAATTATTGACTAATTAATCAAGATTTGTGTCAAAAGTAACCAATGTAGAGCCACTCCCTACCCCTCAAAAGAAACTTGTCAATGGAATCGCGCTCGCTTCTCTTGTCGGGTCATGAATTATGCGACTTAGCTTTATCATATGGATAACAGATGCCCTGAAATGGACCATCAAAGTTCCGATAACAAGGTATTTTGGTGATCAGATATTAACCTGTTCTTGGACAAAATCGATGAAATCTGCCGAGACCTAGGGAAAAAAAGGATGTCTCGAAGAATGAATGACTATGTGCTTGAGAGCATGAAATATATGAAAGGCATAAACTGCGAGTTTTAGAGTATAACTGGATAGCTTTAGAGATCACACGAAACCTCTCTATCGAAATAAGACCTCGAGCCAACCAATGTTCGAGTTTCAGTTATATCCCATGCTATACTGACTGTACTCAAAGAAGGTTCCAGGCCCAAATCTGATTAATCAGCATATGACTCTCACACCATTCAAATTCTCTTTTTTCTGTGTAATCTCTGAGATCTAGTCTCGGTCGAAAGATTCTCGTTTGTTTATTAATGTAAGAAACGTTATTGCCGCTGGAACTGTGAGCTTTGAGTCGGGGTAAACTCCATTTGCACCCACATCAAATTTAAAAAAGTTATTTCCTACACAACGTTGTTGACCTCGTCAGGGCACAGGCGGCCCAAGCTCCAGCTGTGAGATCATCATCTTGCGAAATAAGGGTCATTGCGAAATTACAAGAGTTTGTATGGGAATATTTACGACCGCTGTTAGGAATAAAAAGTACGGTCAAATTCTCAATAAAAATACCTCACCTTACTTCCAAATTGCATCGCTTGTTATCTGACCGCTCACTATGATGAAAAGAGCCCATTTTAGCGAATTATTCATTTCTAGGTTTATTACGTACATAAGAGGGCTTCTAAGTTTCAGTCCGGTAGCCAAGGTAATTAAAGCAATATCTGGTGATTCACTTTTCATTCCGTAGAAATTGAGACTCAGTATTTAGGCTAACCAGCCTAACTATATCAATGCCTAAACTAGAAACCTAAAAAAGACTGTAGAGAGAAACTGAGCCGTATCGTTGCCCGAAACAGGCTGTTATTATTCCACTGGTAAAGTCGATTTTGGCATATTGGGGCGCACAAAATTTGCGACGATAGATTACATTGTAAGATGGGAAAAAATGAGATGGAGAGCAAAGCAACAAATTGGTCCCTACGCAGAAGAACGAAAGTCGTGATCGTGAAGTCTTTTATAATTAGGCCTTAATTTCTGGGCGAGAAAAAAATTTGGTTTAAAAATTGATTTTTTTTTTGTTTGTCACGAAGCACGTTTACATTGTTTTCTTCTTTCACGAGTGCTGAAGCTTTGATAAAGCCGAAAACTGAAAAAATTGATAATATGGTAATAATACTGAAATCCTATATTCAATGGTTTGAAATCTAAGACAAGCGGACATTGTGCTCATTGCTGAAATTTTCGTTCGCCCCGTTATCGTGATCAAAACTCGCCTATATATTTGCGCTATTTTTATGCTAAACCACCCAATGATTTTAAGAGGCATTAATAGCCTTGATGAGATACATTCGTAATGTATGACGACCAATCTTGAACTAAAATAGTGTGTACAATATGGCGGCTAAGAAAAGAAAAGAAAGCAAAGAAAATATTAACTTTTCTCTGGAAGATTTCAATAGTATTCATCATCATTGTGGATATGTGCCAAACTATATTCTGCGTAGTAAACACATGACTCCTTCCGGCGGAAATAAGGGAATTTTCAGTCCCATACACTACCGTGATACACATATTTATTTCTCAAAAAGTCACTTTCTTACTCCAACCATTCGATTAAATATGACTGGCAATTTTCTTTTCCTTCATACTAAATAATTTATACCTATCATATCTAACGATTGTTTAGAGGTTGTCTATCAAACAGTGTCTAGAAGATAAAGCCGTGATATTTTAGGCCGTGATCTAAAGGGTCTGAATGTGTATGTATAAAACTGTTTCACTCAGTTGAAAGGAATGATATTCAATAATTAATCCAAAAAAAAAGTTAATGGGTGAGTAGACTTTTACGCTAACTTTTGGAACATGAGGTTCAATTAATAACTCTTTTACACTATTCAATTCAAGACGTTCTTTGTTTTTATTAAGCACCTTTTCAAAAGGCAAAGATAAATGTATCGTTATCATAAATTACCATACAAATCTGCTGTCTTAATCTTTGCGCGTAAATCATGCAGCGAAAAACAGTGATTCTGTAAACGGTGAATTTTCGATTGGGGCATGAAATCAAACCTGTAGATCTAGAGGAAACAATTCAGATAACTGCCGTTGTTATATTCCTATGTATCCAAAGTGCGAAGAAAGTTCTTCTGCTGACATCCCGCGGTCAGTTTTGAGTCGAAATCCCTCATGCGTCTCAAAAACAAAAGAGCGCCTCTCGGTTAACAGTCACTTATGCAAATATAAGCACTGAATCATTCAACCATAATTAATGCGGTAGAAATTGCGCCTTTTGCATTTGTTTAGTAGTATTGGAGCGTTGATTAGAGTGGGCAGCCAACATTTCTAAGACGGCGTGATAAAACATGAAGAGAACGGCTTGTTTACGCTAAAATTCATCCGAGGAAAGAACTATATTGCGGGAAGGAGTACATCTTGTGTCTCTTCCCGCCAAGAATATTGACAGAATGAAAGGGATAAAAATCATATTGCTGTTTGTGGTGGTTGAAGTGTACCATTGTAGTGAGCTTCCTTGGCGTAAACACAACATCTACGATTCCGCATTGGACGATCAAGGTTGCTCTCAAAGTCAACCAAGCTGCCAGGAATGTCTTTCTAAAGAAGGAAATTGTGAGTGGTGCAGTGATGAATCACTTACAAGCCAGTGTGTGTCGCAAGGAAGCAAAAATTGCCCGCGCGAATACAGACGGACAGAATGCAGTGCTCAAACAGCTGATAACAGAAAAAGAGGGTCTGTAATGGCATACTATGATCAATCTTTGGATGAACTCAGTGCCGTAAACAATGTTATGGCAGATGACTCGGCAGCCGGGAATAGCAGTGTGGTAACAATGAACGTCACCGCGTTCTGTGGCAGCCAAGGAGGTTGCGAGAACTGTACTGCGAGAGAGTTTTGTGTCTGGTGCCAATCTAAACAAACTTGCCAAGCGTACTACAATTCTTCAACAACAGAGCAGTCTTGCCCCGAAGAGAAAACAGCGTACAAAGGCCAATGTATTTATCCAAGTAAGTTTGAATATGAGGTATCGCCCTGTTAGTAGGTAGATAACTTTCGTGTTACATGCTTGAGAGACTTCCAAAGGAATTCCTCGCCCTTTTTTATAGCATAGGCGAAGGAGTATTTCATTCGGTAAGATCGCCTTTTAAGCCTAGAAAAACAGAGTGAAGAATTTTCTAGGAAAGGTAAACGTTTCTTAAAGAAGCTAGCTTAAATTGTACAGTTGCCGCGACATTTCTATTCTCCATTTATGCACGAAAGGTCTCTGATGCTACCTACGTGACAATTATGCAAAAACAAGGAAAGCGCTCTGTGTCGTCAAACCAAAAGGAAAGATCTTCGCATAGCAAAGTCTCTAACGCCTTGGCGTTGTGGGCACTTTGAATACCAAGGGATGTTTTTCGGCAAAGAAAGAACTTGACATGCAATTTAGGTCTTTTTTTCAGAATTTTCCAAACCAAGAAACTATGGAGATGAGCTTGAGGCAATGAAACTTGCATAATTAGAATCCTCGTGTAAAACTTGTCCACACATTCGACCACTGCTTCGATAGAAATCAGCGCGTTTTTACAGCATCTGTGACAAAACATATTCTGGACATTTCTAGACATCGCCATAACTTGAAAATACTGAACAAGAAGGGTAGCAAGGCTTATAATTTGCTTTTAAGAAAACAAAACCCTTGTAGGTGGTATTTAAATTAATAAATATTCCTTACGCCAGAGGATTAATTACTCTTCAAGTTCGTAAAAACATTTTAATCAGATGTGGCAAGTTTCGAGAAAAACTACCAACCAAAACAGAAAACCTATCGGAAACCGGTTTACTCTGATGAATTTACAACTGTATGATTTTATCAAAATTCGACAGAAACCCCAATTCTGACTTAAGGAAATTTGTTATTCACATGCAAATATTTTGAAAGTTTTACCATTATCTCTCAAAATAACACTCAAGTAGTGCTTTTAATAGTCGCCTACTGCTTGAAGAATTGCTCTTCGTGAGTATAATCTCTTCACTGGAGACCTTCAGCCTCCTCAAACTGATTCCATGCATCCAAAATCAAAACACTAAATCTTTGGTCTTCAAGCTCTTCGCAAGATAATTTACCTTACAAATTTTTTTCAAATATTCCCCTTGGGAAACTAATTATTTATGTAATTGGAATGCACCTTGTACCGTCCGTTAAATGCACTGTTTGAAAAATTAGCATGCCCTTTTGAACACATTTTTCATAGAACGAGTACCAGAGAAAACTGTGTACTTTTCGAACATTTCCCTCGCAAGAAGATTACGTATTTAAAGATCTATGTTCAATGCGGGTATTACCGGACCATTCAAGGCCTTTTAAGTACTTAAGAGTACTTGAAACCGTCAGCTTCCGAAACTCATTACGGCGGCCAATTTACATTATAAACTCAGTTCATTAAAACAGATTCATCTTGTTATACCCCTACCGACGCAGTACAACAGTTTCTTAGAAACATACCCCGTTTATTCATTTCGCAGTATCGAGAGCACTGATCTTTGCTCCTCTGAGCTCCAGGACAGATCAAAATATCTAATTTCCTTTTCCTAATCTCCCCTTGGGAAACTGGTCTTAATGAAAAACATGATTTGCTGAATGCACTTTTGACTTGATCAATTAACTATTAGGATAAACAGTAGTTAGCCTAATTTTGGAGACGGGCCCAGACAGCGCTGTGAATGTTTTTCTGTTTTTCATAATTACAAACAGGGGAAGAATTCCACGAATATAAAGCATACAACTTGTGATAACAAAAGAACAAACGATGTATTTATGAAGGAATGTTCATGATAAAAAGCCTTTTGTTTCTGCCTCTGTTTAATTCTCTTGTTTTCGGAAATGGCATTCCTCGCCTTTCTAGAAAAAGTTCCTTAATTGCACTGCTGAACAAAACTAAAAAAAGAGACAAGATTCTAATAAATTCAATCTAATTTTATTTTACTACACAGGACAACACAAATGGGTTAATATTTTTTCTTCTTTCGAAGATTCAGTCGCAATAAAACAAATAAAAACTTAGTTTTACAGAACCTAGCTACTGCATGAAAAGCTTCTATTGAAATCACACTGATGGCGGTAAGAAATAAAGATGAAACGAGAAGGGCTTGGGAAAGAGAGAAAGAGGAACATTAGATGTCGCTGTTCCGTGGGAACAAGCCCAAAATAAACATTAAGTGTGCTTATTTCAAAAGGAAAGGAGTAGAAGAACAAAGCTAGGTGCGATTTGTGTAAAGACAAAAAAAAACCACAAAAACAAAAAACTCACATACAAAAGTTACAAAACCGCAGGACAAAAATTAAAAATAAAAAAATTCATAGAGATCAAGTCAGAGAGAAAATGCGAAAAGGAAAAAAAAAGGAAAAAGGCTGCATATTAGATATGAAGATCTTCAACCCATGAACTTCCGTAAGAGATTGACATGTAACTTCTCCCTAAAATATCCATACATTATCTAGTATACAGGTAAAGAGAATACTCAAATTTATCAGGTAGAAGTCATTATCTTGATCTAACACAAAATTCTTGTAACCGTTTTACAAGGAAATACGTAGAAGAGAATTAACAATCAGATCTTGGAATTTAAAGGCTCTAAGTGAAGAAGAGTAAGCAAATTTTATATTTTTTTCCTTTTCAGTTGGAGTAATTCCCTGCCACGAACGGAAACGATCATGTAAAAAGTGTCTTCATCAAGACGCCATGTGCTACTGGTGCTCATCGACGGAAAAATGTGCACGGTTCCCGTCGGTTAATTTCGAACCAGACGATTGTCCCAAAGAAGATTGGCATCACAAGAAATGCCCGATGGCAAATGATCTGTTATGGGTTCTCCTTCCTATATTAGCCATAATTCTCATCCCGATCATTGTTTACCTCATAATTTGGTTGATATGTTGCTGTATGCGGGCAGCCGGATACGAGCCCCTGGAACCTACGGAACCGTCCAAGAAGAAACACCCTAAGGGTATCCGACTGAAACCCGGGTCCCCCTCCAACAAGACAGACGAACTAAGAAGGAAATATGATCTCAATAATCCGTAAATCACCATTTTAGTGCTTTACACCCTGACATCAGTATCAATGTTCTCCATACTGTTTTTAACACATTTCATTTTCTACCGACAAGGAAGATTCATTTAATAATCAAAGTCTCTTAGGTTGGTGATCACTTTCTTTATTCTTATGAGCCTACTAGATGATTCAGCATTGTAAGGAGAAATTAGATGCTGGTCACTCTTAGGTTTACCACAGCTCATTGTGACGCAAAAAGCACAACTATCAAACGCAACCATATCGTATAAATCGTGAGTAAGTAGGGGCTTTATGTACTGAGGGTTAAATTTTACAGTGGTAAAAACACTGATTTTCTCGCGGCCCTATGACTACTACCCAATTCACACCGGCAGAACATGTCTTTTTAAACTGGTTTTACCACTTATTGCCTCGTGACCAATCAGAACCAGATAACCGCAGCGAAACATAGAGGTCAAGGAACTAAATCAAGCACTAAGAAAAAACCCATTGCGAATGAGTGCTGGAGTTTGATAGTTCATCTCAGACACTTGCATATCTGCTCTATACTTAGTATGTATTTATAATAACAACGTACTTCTGCAATCGTATAATCATAGTAAAGATTTAAATTTAGCGAGAAAAAGAAAGAAGGCAACTATTTTTATTTCGTTTCATTGAATCCATGTCTCGTACGAGCTGAATCCCTGTTCTACGAAATTTCGCACATTTTTAAATATTCCTTTCTCTACGAAGGGAGAGAAGCGTTATGCTTCATGGAGCCTTTGTGTAAAGATTTCTAACATTTAAATGGTAAACACGAAAAAAACACCGTCAAAGTTCAACCAGTCGACACGTAAACGTGGAGGAAAACATGTGACGGAGCAGTGGAATTTCCCTTTGCAATAGTCAAGTTTATCACAGCTGTCATGAATTCTCTATGAATTTTCCTGCGTATAATAACATGGACGTGAAAATCACAAACAGCCCAGACCAGACTGAATTTTTTGTAATTGAAATGGATTTTGGTGATATGTGTCTCTTGAGTAATTAGTTTTAAAAATAATTTCGGTAGCGTCAATTGGCAGCGAGATAGAGACACGTTATTACTTATGAAAGGTTAAAACTAGTGAATAAGGATGAGCAAATAGACATAGAGGAAAAATTGTAAAGTGGTAGATTAATTAAGGAAAATGATAAGTACTTATTGACCTGGAGGGAGGGCCGGACAAGAAAATATTTGGCTCGATGTTGGGAAGTACAGACAACACAGCGTAGTGTTGAACTCTGGGTATTATTTGAACCTTTATGTCATCGGAATGTTAACGTACGGAAAAACCAAGAGGAATGACCCTCAAAATGACGAGCTACAGAAAATGATTGGTATTGAAGCCCAATGTAAATCAATGGAACCATGTCCTTTATTCACTTCTGTAGTACACAACTTTTCATAAACTCACCATTACTTCCTGCTAAACTGCTAATACATTAAATTATGAAGATTATTCTTATCTTGACTTATTATTAACATCTCACATTTAAGTCCACTGTTTTAAGGCATGCTCCATTTTTTGTAAACAATGAAGAAACGAATAGATGACATGTTCCCACGATTGATCCAATCCTGATTCTACTCCTTCCGTATCGCAGTTTGGAATACAAACTATCAAAAAATATAGAAAAGATATTAAAAAGAAAAGAGAAAAAAATCAAATCAACAAATGCAATCCACATAAAACCTCAAAATGTCTTCTCTTGTCAACTAGAAGCAATTACCAGCCACTGCTCGAAAAATGATCGCGCACTCCTCCCTCGGAAAGTGGATGGGGGCGGATAAAAGTGCAAACCCTTGGAAAAAGCAAAAATTCGAGACTGTTTGTCCACTTGAGCAACATAGTGGGACTTTGAAAGTAATCCTATGTTACATTCAGTGATTGGTCTAGAGGGTTTGCGCCAAATTCTCAACCAATCAGATTTAAAACTAAAGCCAATCGCGACTTGGTCACCCGCGTTTTCCCGCGCTATTTGCACTCTACTCGTTTTTAACTTCGACTTCTCATTGGCTCCTGATGATTGTTCTGATTGGCCGTTGTGATAGCTCGCGTGCTTTACCACACCCAGACTCATTTTATCCCATCACATACCTACAATGCACTCAGAATGCTGTTGGCCAGACTGCAACTCAGACCAGTACCATCAGGCTCTACGTTGAGCGCTGTCACCAGTCCATCTTCGATCACCATCACATATCTCTTTGACCGTACATTTCCAAGAAATGGCCTCGCGTCAAGCTCCATATCAACAGCCTACAGTAATTGAAGGGATGAAGGGAATAAGACGAGATATGTGTAGTTTTGTAAGTATTCTTTCTTTATTGGTAAATTTAAACTTCAGAGTGGAAAATGTCCCAGCCTAGCTATTAGCGCGCTGAACTTTGGAGCTAGAGATCTGGCACCTTACTCCCACAAAGCCTCTCTTCACGAAGAGTACCTGTATAAATGGGAACCGGAAACAGTCCGGAAACTGAATAAAAATGCTCAACGCAGTTTATACCAACTTAGTGTTGATTTAAGGGGTCCAGAAAAATTGTCATTTCATTGTTAGACCGAGTTAATTCTTAAAATTGCGAGGCGAGGCTGGCTCTGATTCTTGTGCCGCGGAAGACTTTTTATGTATTTCGCAATAAACCACAACACTGAATTTGAAAATGCCGCAAAAGTAGCATGTACGAAAGCTCAAAGATCAAAAGTCATTTATCTGTCAAAGTAATCTTTCAAAATGGGTTTCCACACGAGGTTTTATTTCTTCAACCAGTTTAAGATCACTCTCACCCTTTTAAAACTTGGAAGTTATATTGACGTAAAAGTTACTTACTTCCGAAGGAAGAATATAAAAATAAACCAAAACAAAAAATCTAACAAAGAACTGATAACTTCCATTTCGGTGAAGGCCAAAACACCTACGAATGAGGCCACCTGCTGTTGCTATTTCCATATCCAGAATCTTGTTTTCAAAAAAGTTGGCCTTAAAATGCTTAAAATCATAGTGAAAAAGACATTCAAATCAGTCGTTTTGAACCCATCAATACGGTTACATTGCCAAATAAATCGAGAATTTCGTTTCTACTTTTAAGATCCTCTTCTGTGCACAATTCATCCATCTTCCGGCGATTAAAAAAATTCACGCAAAACATAGCGATGTATTATAATCTAAAAAACAGTTAAACCTTTCACCAGCGCTATCTACTCCCGACTAATACTAAACCTATTTTTTCTGTCAGGTCTCAAAATTTGGTTTTAAATCAAGGCCATATCAGCTAGTTCATCATTACCTCAACTCTCATAATCTGAGCGAGAGATATTGGTTTCCCGATCAGTACGCCCTGCCTTTGAACTTATTCGCATTAACACGTCACAAGTGTAGTTGTGTTAATGACACAAATATTTTCAAGGTCGTTCACTCTCAGACTTGTGGATAGGGAATTTCGCTGGTAGAGTATTCAAGCATGTAATCATTTTAAGTTCCGGGTAAAGACAACTGAACTGCGTTTGTGATAAGTTCCTATATTCAGAATTTAAGACGTCTACACGTTTAGGTGAGCGACTTGTTTAACGAAACTACTTTTCATCCCGGACCAAGCCTCTGGCGGCTTCCCGCTGATCGCTGTAGCGTACATAAAACCGACACCTACGCAGGCTAAAAATACAACTTTTCATAGAAGGTGGTAACGACTTTATTCAAATGCGCCTCTCATGTCTCCCTGAAATGAATTTGTGTTCGGCATTTTTTATGATATTCAAAGAAAACCTAAAATATAGTTTCACAAGTCAAAAAGTTGAAATTCACATAAAGTTCAAAAGAAAATGAAGACAATTTTTTATTTCTTTTTTCTACCTGTTCTGAAAAAAAAAGTTAATTCCAAGAGACACGAAAACCGTCTGTCGTTGGATATTTAGAATTATTTCGTATCTTTATTTTATGTCAGTCCTTTCAGTTACTCTCATTTGTATTAATAAACGGCAATAACTCCAACATCTATAAGAAATATTGAAAAAAGCGGAATTATTAAACTCAAATTCTTTTCCACGGCTATCTGATTCGCCATTTTCAGAGTCCTGCCTGCGGTTTGTTCATACAATACTTCACAATCTAGTTTCAAAATTGTTTTAGCACAGTCGTATAGATCAGTTTAGCTTTATTCTTGTTTGACCACCTTTTAACGGGCAAACTAAACGCGGGTTCAGTTCGTCAAACGGAAGGGTTCAGGTATCAAGATGAACGACACTTGAAGACCGATCGTACGATAAACGTACATTAAATGTTTTCCCAGAAAAGGTGCGCAGTATGTCCACGATAGCATGTCGAATATGTCTCATCTTCCAGCAGTAAATTAAAGGGTTAAGAGACGAGTTCAGAAAAATTAGAGTTAGTGAGAAAAGATGAAAACCCTTCAATGTAACGGAAGGACCGTTGAATTGAATAACGGAGACGCAAATGACGTACGGCAAACAACAAACTAGAAAAGCAACATACACATAGAATATAGCGACTGCAGATTTTATACGACTAGCTGTTTGTGTTATTTCGCCACGCGGTCCTCTCTGTACTTGCAAGGACTGGATCTGAGTTTTATGTCGTCTCACGACGAAATAAAGCTTGATGTAAACTCCTGTGATCACGACAAGACCAAGAAGAATACCGATGTACTGGATTACGGGCTGAATAAAACGCACACCACTTAATCTTATAAAAGAAGCAAATGCACTGAACACCCATATTGAGGTCACCACGGCAACAATACGCTTGTGCGTCACAAGTTGCTGGTATCTGAGATGAAGATAAACAGCTAAGAACCTGTCCACAGTTACAGCCATCACACCCAGGAACGAAGCTTGAAAAATTAAAAAACCAATGATAAGAAACACTCGGCAAGTGTAGCAGCTGATGCTGCCTTGTTGTAGCCAGTTGACCAGTAGTGAAGAGTAAAACGGTTGAACAACCAAACCAACACCAACATCAGAGACAGAAAGACTCACAAGCAAAGTTTTTGTTGTCTTCGGCAATGGCGAAGTTTTCCGTATTGCATATATCGTCAGAATGTTCAACATCACCGCGGTATAGTTCAGAAAAATGTTCAAAACACAGTTAGCGATGTAACTTAAGCGAAGTTCTTCATATTCGGAGATTAAAGGAAAGAACCGCAGCAATTTTTCACATGACATATTTAAATATAAAAAACAACACAGCGCGATCAAGATCTTATCTAGCAAATCGTTCTTTCAATTAACTCGTCGACACAGAGCACAGGACGCCCGCTACTCATTATAACATCTCCCATCAATCAGTAGCATACGCTTGCCGTTCTCAGATCTAAATACTGAGAGACCAAGGAAAGAGACCACGGTTGAATATACGATAAGTTTTACAGCTGGGACTGTCAAGATGTAACCAGCTAGCCAAGATTGAAGAGTGAAATGCTTCAACAAAGAAGCGATATAATCATCAAAACTGAAAGACTCCGCAGAAGTTCTCTTGTCGTTTTTCGGTTGGCATGAACGATGCTTTCTGTATCGCACACCAGCTCTCCAAGCTGCGACAATTTTTGTGACTAAATACGCAAAGAGAGTCGCATGTTTGGCGAAATGTGTTCAGTAGTATGAAAAAGCATTAACGTTTTGAATACTACCTTTCATAGTCTATAGTTTTTTAAGGCAAGGCAAACATTTTAAGATATGAATTGTCAATATTTGTCTCATACGATTCATTACTCTTACTTCATATTTATATAAATATAATTTGAAAACATACATGAAATATAAATACCTTTTGTTTTCTCGTCAAAGAGAGACACTTTTTCGATGAGAAAACAAAAGATGTTTATATTTAATAAATTTTTTTCAAATTGCAACGGAAGGAAAACTTAAGAACTCGGACAAAAAACCCTTTGAGCAAAGGACGAGAACCAACACCACACTCAACCCACATGTGACACCAGGTCTGGGAATAGAACCCAGGCCACAGCGGTGGGAGACAAGCGCCTTACCATCACACCCTCCCCTCCCCTTCTCATATTTACTGTTGATGGTTAAGTGGTTTGACTAAAGAAAAAAAAAACGCACCTTTGTGAATTCACCTTGTGTGTCAGCCAACATGCGGATCTGGAAACAAAAAAACATATAATTACATATAAACAATGACATGCAAAAATGTATGGGCACTGGTTCGCCTGAAGATAAACGATACAGGGAAAGCAATCTGTCCCATCATTAATTTAACTAACACAAATATTTTCATGAGGAAAACCCTCCGGAGAACCAAGATCTCCAAGTAATGGAAATCGCGGGAGGTAAGGACGCCCCCTGGTCTGCTGAGTGAGTCCAAAGGAACCGTATAGTGGGGGGTCCAGTGGGGGAGTTCAAAGGATGGGTAAAGTGGGGGGTCCACTGGGTGAGTCCAAAGGGAGGGTATAGTGGGGGGTTTACTCGGTGAGTCCAAAGGAACAGTACA